CCGATTTCCCCCGCGCGCAACCCCCCCTGCGCGACGGCGGCGATCCCGTCCGTGATGCCGGCTGATGACGTGAAGCCAGTTTACCCTGTAACCCGGCTACAGGGTAAAACCGTCACTCTCACACAAAAGGATACAAAATGGGGCACGTGGGTAGAACACGGAGTCTGGCAGATCAAACATCTTTGGGCAAAGGATAGGCAGCAATGGAAGACGGCCAGGGAGCTCATAGCGGAATTGAAAGGATGCCACAGACTAGCCGAGAATCTCAACGACATTCTCATATCCATACCACAGGAGTGGACAGCTATGTTGAAGAGGAATACGCAATGGGGACTAGGCGACCGGGTTACATGGAAACAAGAATTGGAACCTGCCGAAGCCTTCCACATCTGGAGTCAAGAACCAGCTAGGAAGGAGTGGTTGAACACCGACATGTACAACATTATGAACCCAGGAAGTACCACCAGCCTCTTGGACCAGGACTCCAAGACTTCGGTTACCATCCAAGCGCAACAAGTGCAAAAAGTAAAGAGTAGTGGAGACGGAGGATTTCACGATTTTTAGCCCAACCACTCCAATAGAGGATCTAGAAATTGACCCGGCGAAATGGGCGTGGAATCTCAGAGGAGGAAGGTTGAGAATTTCCAGAAGAACCAGCATACTAAAGTACACTACACGAATTGGCTATCGACTGAGAAGGCGGCATCACACTCTGCAGACCGTACTCACGAAGCGGTGGGAGAACAGAGTGGGAATCTCCCCGGAGCAATTACCGGCAATGCCATGGACAACGATCAATAGGATAAGACTTGGCCGGGTTAGAAGCTTGCAGTGGCTAATTGCCCACGTAGCTCTGCAAGTAAACGATTGGCTGAACGAAAAAAGAAGTTGAGCAAGAAGAGACCCCTCCAACGCCTTGTGCTCAGTTTGCCAGCAGGGTTCAGTGGAAACAATGGAGCATGGCCTGCTGACATGCCCAAAGGCAGAGAGCCTATGGGAAAGAGCCAGAACCCTCTGGAAGCAGATGACGCAGAAGCCTTTCCCGCAAGGAAAAGAGACCCTGCTGCTGGGACACAAATGTGGCCAGCCTTTGAGAAGCAGCTATTTCAGCTCATAAGACCGTACACAGTATGGACAATTTGGAAAAGACGCTGTCAGATCACACAATAGGGAAGAGGCCGATGCACGAACAAGAAGCAAAGGAGGTCCTCCTAAACCTAATGGGAACGGAGGTTTGGGCACAGTGGAAAAGAACACAGCGGCAGATGAGACAGTAACCGGACCAAGCACAGGATCTGAAAGACAGATTCGACCACAGAAGCCAAGGGAATGGCAAAGTTGCAACTATTCGAGCCACAGGCCTCGTTCTTTCGTGGAGACAGAGAGGATGAGAACGCCATAGCAAAGGGAATGAGGAGTAGCAACTGTAGGGTTTAGGGTTTAAGGCACGGACCAGGAAGAAAGAATGAGGCAAGGAGAAGTTGGACAGAGGAGGGTTTAGAGGCTAGTCAAAGGGCAAACGGGGAGTTAGATAGAGCTTTTTCCTCTACTACTATTTGTTGGTTGTCAATCCAATTTTGTTTTTTTTTTTCAGGAATAGCATGTGAACAGATAGAAGGCAGGAGCACAGGAACCACCCTGCAATACTAGCCTGATCTGGGTAATGGCCCCAGTTATCACTTGACCACTTGCCGACCTTCTAGAAGGACTACATCTAGGCCTCTGGACTCTACTTGGACTCCTACCTTACAGGTCTACAGTTCGAATCTCCCTACAACCTACAACCTACGACGACCTACTTACCACTGGCTATCGTGCAGGTCACGGGTTCAACTCCAGGGAACTGTGCAGATACTGAACACAGGTAAGCTGAGGTCAAGGGATCGACCCCTGGGATCTGCATCGGCTACTGSCAAAGGTGAAAACTGTTTCACRCCCACCGTCCTAAATTCGAGGTCCTCCGAGAATATTTCAATCCAAGACTGKACCTTTACCTTTCTTATCTCGTTCGTAAGCCCTCACTATGTCAGGGGCTGTCTCCAACAGTTCTGTTCTTGTGAACCAGCGGTCGTCTTCCGGCTCCTGGTAGGCAAACCGAACCTTATACTGTTTCTGGGGACGACCTCTACCTCCTGTTCTAAACACATCTTCGTCTACAATRYCGTCAATGTCGTATCTTCCATCCATATCCGGAGGGATCATGGATCTTCTCGAGGGGAACTGTTCACTTGTGACACACGACAGCAACTTGGAAGCATGGAAGACTTGGTACGTGTGGAGGTGTCCTGAAATCTCTATAGTATAGGACGGTCCATCCTCTCCGCCTTTCACTTCTAATACCACCCACGGTCCTCTATAGGCAGGCAATAACTTCTGCGAGATGTGCTCCTCAGGTGCAAACTCTTTAGACTTGACCCAGACTAAGTCGCCTACTTGAAACTGTGAGAGGCGACGGTACTTATTAGCCTGTTCTATCATTCTATGTTGGGTCTTTCTGAGGTCCTCAACAACAGTTGCTAACTCTTTCTCATGCTGCAAAGCAAACTCCCTGGTTCCGGGCGGTAGTCAGTGAATCTGATCCCGGTTCAGTCCTTCGAACGGTCTGCGTGGTCTAAAGGACTTGTGCAACTCATTGGGAGTGCGGCAGGTGGATAGATGCACGCTGTTGTTGTATGCACTAGCTACTTTAGGCAACATCTCATCCCAGTTAATCTGATCTAGTCTAATGTACATGCGCAGAACTTGCTGTAGGATCTTGTTCATCTGTTTTGTCTCTGGGTGACGGCCAGATGACATTAACAACTTAGATCCGTAAACTCTCATGAGTTCTTGCCAATTCTGGCTGGTGAAGCGACTATCTCTATCACTAACAATTGACAATGGGATTCCATTCTCACTAACCCAAAAGCCAAAAAACCTCTGTATAACTAAGTCCGTACGTGCCTCTGCAGGCAAAGGAACGAAAACTACATATTTGCTAAAACGGTCAACTATGACCATGACTTGGCTCTTACCATGTCTACTCTTGACTTGGGCGTCCATGAAGTCTATGGACACCGAGTCTCCCGGCTGTTCCGGAATAGGCAAGGGTCTGAGAAGACCTAGGGGTGCGCGTGTTGTAGACTTATTCCTTTGGCACACTTTACAACTGCGAACATACTCTATGCAGTCATTCTTCATTTCGAGCCAGGTATACGCGCGCATTAGATTGGCTAATGTCTTTTGCCAACCGAAGTGTCCCTCAATATCGTGGCATTCCCCTAGGATCAGACTACGAATCTCCTCGTTGTTGGGGACGCACAGGCGGTCAAACACATTAGTCTTCTCAAACAACAATCCGTCTGTAGTGCGGTAATCTGGTTCGGTCTTTGGAGCCTCTCTAACTCTCTTTAGGAGGTCGCTATAGATAGGGTCCTGCGCATACGCTTGCTTCACTTTCTCCTGCAGGTCTTTCCCTATATCCAGATAGTGTACTACAGCTCCAAAGTAGTCTGATCTCGTACTTAGAGCATCCGCAACCACGTTATACTTGCCCTTCACTGGCTTGAGCTGAAAGTCGAATTGGTCTATCTCTGCGGCCCACCTAGTCAACTTAGGTGTCATCTTGGCCTGGGTCTTCAACCATCTAAGGGTTTCATGGTCCGAATAGACTTTGAAGTGCTTCCCAAGCAGGTAATGCTTCCAATGGTCTAAAGCCTGCCTGAGAGCGTAGAGTTCTCTCTCGTACGTGGAGGTAGCAACCTTCTCACAGGGCATCCTCGCCGACATGAACTCTACGGGTCTATAACCATTGTCGTCGTCTTGATACAACACGGCGCCTATCCCATACTGACTCGCATCCGTGGTAACGACAAATGGCAAGGATGGATCTGCAACTTTGAGGACAGGATATTCTATTAACGCGCGCTTTAACTTCTTGAGCGCAGACGTACAATCTTTATCCCATTGCCAGATTGCCTCTTTCTTTAGCAGTCTGCGCAAGGGGGCGGCGATAGTGAAGAAGTTCCTCACGAACTTCCTATAGTAATTAGCTAAGCCTAGGAACGACCGTAACTCTGTTAATGTGCGGGGCATCGGTCAGTCTCTAATCGCCGCGATCTTGCTGTCCTCTGGCTTAATGCCATCTCCGTCCAACACGTGGCCCAAGTACAAGACTTGCGTTTTGGCCCACTCGCACTTCTTCGCGTTGATCTTGAAGTTAGCCTCTCTAAGCTTCTCCAAGACCTGCCTCAGATGACCCTGGTGCTCCTAGAGGGTCTTACTAAAAACTAGAATATCATCTAAGTAGACTACTACAAATTTATCTAACCATGGTCTAAACAAGTCATTCATACAACGCTGAAAAGTAGCTGGCGCGTTGGTCAGTCCAAAGGGCATCACTATAAACTCATAATGTCCATATCTAGTCCGGAATGCAGTCTTGTACTGATCATCAGGATGGACTTCTATCTGATGGTATCCGGACTTTAAGTCTATCTTAAAGAAATACTTACAACCCTGCACTCGATCTAAAAGATCGTCTATCCTGGGCAGTGGCTCAGCATTCTTCACTGTGATCGCGTTCAAACCCCTATAGTCTATACACATACGAAGCTCTCCTTCCTTCTTGGGGACAAACAAAACGGGTGGTCCAAAAGAAGACGAACTGGGCCTGATCCAACCTTTCTCAAGGAGTTAATCGAACTGCTTGCGGAGCTCCTCTAACTCTCTAGGGGACATCCTGTAGACTGCACCCTTAGGAGTTCTACTGCCAGACTCTATCTCTATCCTATGCTGGATGGGTCGCGGCACTACTCCTGTCGGCGACTCAGTCAAGTCTTTGAATTCTTCCAGCAGCTTGGCAATTGTTGTATCTGTGGAACTATCCTTTTCCTGGGCCTCAGTGACAGGTCTGACATATACTACAAAGATCTGGTCTTCTAACTACTCCTTTACTAATCGCGCGAATGCGGGAGCACTGAAACAACAATGTGTCAAGGTGTTATCTACACAAAACACATGGAACAAGCGGGCAGTCTTAACTCCGCCCGCCGGACTAGGGAGCCTACACTCATGCTCTCTCAAATGAAGTGTGGCCCCTGCTGCCTCTCCCCAATCCATTCCCAACACTATGTCAAAAGGAAGGTCATCTTGTACGAGGAGAGTCTGGGAATGGAGAACTTTCTCCACCTTCCCATCCTTCTCTAGGCGAAAGTACGCCTGGACTCCCTCTACATAGTCCTCAACGCGCATTGTGCGGTTGTCTGCGAG